TGCAGTGTCTGTTGTAACTTCTCCTTTTTCATTTCTAATTTTATTGATTTGAGTCCTCTCCCTCTTTTTCTTGATGAGTCTGGCTAAAGGTTTATCAGTTTTGTTTATCTTCTCAAAGAACCAGCTTTTAGTTTTATTGATCTTTGCTATTGTTTTCTTTGTTTCTATTTCATTTATTTCTACTGTGATCTTTATGATTTCTTTCCTTCTGCTAACTTTGGGTTTTGTTTCTTCTTCTTTCTCTATTTCCTTTAGGTGTAAGGTAGATGGTTCATTTCAGATTTTTCTTGTTTCTTGAGGTAGGCTTGTATTGCTATAAACTTCCCTCTTAGGACTGCTTTTCCTGCATCCCATAGGTTTTGGATCATCGTGTTTTCATTGTAATTTGTCTGTAGGTGTTTTTTGATTTCCTCTTTGATTTCTTCGGTGATCTCTTCGTTATTTAGTAACGTATTGTTTAGCCTCCATGTGTTTGTGTGTTTTACGTTTTTTTCCCCATAATTGATTTCTAATCTCATAGAAAAGATGTGGTCAGAAAAGATGCTTGATTTGATTTCAGTTTTCTTAAATTTACCAAGGCTTGATTTGTGACCCAAGATGTGATCTATCCTGGAGAATGTTCCGTGTGCACTTGAGAAGAAAGTGTAATATGCTGTTTTTGGATGGAATGTCCTATAAATATCAACTAAATCTATCTGGTCTATTGTGTCATTTAAAGCTTGTGTTTCCTTACTAATTTTCTCTCTGGATGATCTGTCCATTGGTGTAAGTGAGGTGTTAAACTCCCTCACTGTTATTGTGTTACTGTTTATTTCCTCTTTTGTAGCTAGCTGTTAGCAGTTGCCTTATGTATTGAAGTGCTCTTATGTTTGGTGCATATATATTTATAATTGTTTTCTCTTCTTCTTGGATTGATCCCTTGATCATTATGTAGTGTCCTTCCTTGTCTCTTGTAACATTCATTATTTTAATGTCTATTTTACCTGACATGAGTATTGCTACTCCAGCTTTCTTTTGATTTCCTTATGCATGGAATATCTTTTTCCATCCCCTCACTTTCAGTCTGTATGTGTCCCTAGGTCTGAAGTGGGTCTCTTGTAGACAGCATATATATGGGTCTTGTTTTTGTATCCATTCAGCGAGCCTGTGTCTTTTGGTTGTAGCATTTAATCCATTCACGTTTAAGGTCATTATCGATATGTAAGTTCCTATTACCATTTTCTTAATTTTTACGGGTTTGTTTTTGTAGGTCCTTTTTTTCTCTTGTGTTTCCCGCTTAGAGAAGTTCCTTTAGCATTTGTTGTAGAGCTGGTTTGGGGGTGCTGAATTCTCTTAGATCTTGCTTGTCTGTAAAGCTTTTGATTTCTCTGTTGAATGTGAATGAGATCCTTGCCAGGTAGAGTAATCTTGGTTGTAGGGTCTTCCCCTTCATCACTTTAAATATATCGTCCCACTCCCTTCTGGCTTGTAGAGTTTCTGCTGAGAAGTCAGCTGTTAATCTTATGGGAGTTCCCTTGTATGTTATTTGTCATTTTTCCCTTGTTGCTTTCAATAATTTTTCTTTGTCTTTAATATTTGTCAGTTTGATTACTACGTGTCTTGGCGTGTTTCTCCTTGGGTTTATTCTGCCTGGGACTCTCTGAACTTCCTGGACTTGGGTGGCTATTTTCTTTCCCATGTTAGGGAAGTTTTCGACTATAATCTCTTCACATATTTTCTTGGGTCATTTCTCTCTCTCCTCTCCTTCTGGGACCCCTATAATGTGAATGTTATTTTGTTTAATGTTGTCCCAGAGGTCTCTTAGGCTGTCTTCATTTCTTTTCATTCTTTATTCAGTTCCGTGGCAGTGAATTCCACCATTGTGTCTTCCAGGTCACTTATCTGTTCTTCTGCCTCAGTTATTCTGCTATTGATTCCTTCTAGTGTATTTTTCATTTCAATTATTGTATTGTTCATCTCTCTTTGTTTGTTCTTTGATTCTTCTAGGTGCTTGTTCTTTAATTTTTCTAGGTCTTTGTTAAATATTTCTTGCATCTTTTTGGTCTTTGCCTCCATTCTTATTCCGAGGTCCTGGATCATCTTCACTATCATTATTCTGAATTCTTTTTCTGGAAGGTTGCCTGTCTCCGCTTCATTTAGTTGTTTTTCTGGGGTTTTATATTGTTCCTTCATCTGGTACATAGCCCTCTGCCTTTTCATCTTGTCTATCTTTCTGTGAATGTGGTTTTTGTTCCACAGGCTGCGGAATTGTAGTTCTTCTTGCTTCTGCTGTCTGCCCTCTGGTGGATGAGGCTATCTACGAGGCTTGTAACAGTTGCTTTTAAATGAAGGAGCTGATGCCCAAAGATGTGAAATGGCTTACCTTCAGTAACAAAGTTGAACAACGGCAGGTGAGAGTTCAGATCTCCTGAGTCACTAGCCAGGACTCCTTGCTTGGCACTACTTGTCGCCAATTGGACACTTGAGTTAGAGGGACTGGATGCTGGACTGCTCCCTGGGAGAAGGGAGGTTGAAAGGCAGTTTCTGATGTCAGGCAAGGTTCAGTGATGACCAGGATTCTGGGAGTAGGAAAGTGTTGGTTTATTCAAGGGGACTGTCTTTTCATCTCTTGAACCCAAAGATCAAGTTCCTGAAATTTGTTAACAATGGAGCTCCATGAAAATGCTGCCAAGATGCCCTGAGATCTGAAGGAAAAAGCCGTTGTTCAGCTTGGAGGAATACCTTACACACATCAACATGAGAGGGCTTTCACGCTCTTCCTTTCAGTTAAGGAGACCTTTTGCAGATCACAAGGCTCTACCAAGAAAGGTTAAGTAATTTCCTCAGACTGACCCTCCAAATTGGGGGAGGAGGGATGAATTCAGGTTTGCTGATTCCTCATCCATGGCTTTCTGTAAATATTTACTGTGTCCAGGAAGGTTATTTGTGAGAAAGCACAGAGATGATGTTTCCAAAGTCAGAAAGGGAACCATGCTGGAGAACTCCAGGGGAGCTACAGTTGATTCTTGTTATGCCTGCTAGTTAGGTTCTATAGAAGTCACCGCAAACAGTGATTTAGCGAATACGGAACCATTGCTTCTGGGGGAAATACAGGGTTAAGTTCCCTTAAGCCTCTGTTCACAACGTTTTCATCATTAAGTGATCAGTACACGACCTTGTTTTATGCATGTTTCTGTAAGGACACCTTATTTAATGCATACTGCTGATCCAGTAACATGGAACTCATGCCCAGCAGCACTGTTACTCATATCTGAAAGAAGCTTATCTAACATACAGATTTTTTCCATGAGGCACATCGTAATTTCTTGCACTTAGGAACACTAGGCAGCACTGTGCTTTTAAACATTTTAAATAGTGAAATTACCAACAAAAAGCACAAAAGTGCAAAACAAAGTGGCACTTGTTTACAGTAAGAAAGCTGAAACGAAAAGAACGTCGTCTTGTCGGTCTCAGCTGGGAGCAGGCACTCTGGGCAGCTGGCATGTTTTGCTGTTCTGTATATCTCTGTGAATGACCACAAAAGCACCCTGAGTATTGATTTTGGGGTTACAAATAAATATTAGCAGGTAGGCAAATTTGCAAATGTGGAATCTGTGATCGTGAGAATTGACTATGTTATTAAGTCACACTAAATCCTGAATTATATGCCGAATCACTACCTCGAAAGCTCTTAATGAGACTAACCCCCAGCTCCCCACCTCCATTACGCAGGTTAACAGGAGCCATTTGTACTACAGGGAGACAGCAAGACTGACCCATCCACTTCCCAGGGCTCCATAAGCCTCTGCAAACTCCCTTGCAGTCTTTCACACTCAGGGAAAGTAGAGCTCTCATCTTGTTCACACAGTGTCTTCCCCAAAGGTATGATTTGGGGGGTGGGGGAGGGAGGGGGAGGCTGTTGCAGGGAGATTTTCTTCAGAGATTCATATTCCTTTAACAGCCTTTTATTTACTCTCTACTACGTGTTAGGTATTGTTCTAGTGCTGGAGACGTAGCAGTAAACAAAACAGACAAATCCCTCCTCTGATGGAGCACACATTCTGCAGGGGCAGACAATAAATTGACCGTAAATAACATATAGAGGAGGTTCAACAGTGGTGAGTGCCAGAGGGAGAAATAAAGCGCAGGTAGATCCAGAGTGTGGAGGGTACTGTGCTTCTGACAGTGGAAAATTGACGTAGGAGAAAAGCAAAATAAATTGCTACAGTATATATACGTATACACACACACACATTTATTTTAAATGGTTGCAGATAAAATTCCTTTAGAAAAAGTTAAAGTTTGCTAAGTTGTATTTCCTTTGTACTATGAAGAAATAATAAAGGATTGCTAATTTAATAGTCTGACATAAGTAACGGTATATTTTTACTAATAGATATTTCACAATTTGTACCTTATTTTGTACAGTGGAGAAATTGAGTATAATTTCACTTTTATTATGAATAGATAACATTTGAAGTCATGAAAAGATCGTACATCTCATTGTATGAGTGGTATTGAAATGCCTTATTTTTATATATAATAGCAAAGGTTCTCATTCCAATCTTATGGAATCAGAATAATGGAACAGGATATATTAACTTGGATTTACAGACCTTTGTATTCACTTTTAGTGGGGAGGGGACAAGTTAGAATATACTGAGGGTAAACTCTGTTTTGACATTAAATAAGTATTGTTTCTGACTTTACAGAATTCACATATGTCTTAGGGCACCAGGGTGGTGTAGTAATTAAGCAGATAGATGGGAGAGCTAGACTACCTGAGTCCAAATGCTGGTTCTTCTGTTATTAATGGCACGATTTAATGTCTCCAACTTTCCCATCTGTGAAATGGGAAATGATAGTACCTACCTCACAGGGCTGCTGTGAGGATTAAATGAGTCAATCTGTATTAAGCACTACACTAAGAATAGGGTCTGGCACATAGGAAGCACCATACATATGTTTGTTTGTTATTAAAAAACATATTAAGTTTTTTTAACACTATCTACACATCCTAGAAAATTGTGGCAGGAACTTTATCAGAATTTAAAAGTCACAGCTGTTTACCAATACCGACTACTCTAGAATCACTTTTTAAATTAAAAAAAAAAAAATCCACCTTGAGATGGAGGCAGGGGAGAAGTGAGAGGTGGCCCGGCGGGGTGTCGGCGCTGGCGGGGGCGGGCAGCGCGAGAGTGAGCCCGTGGCTGAGTGAGTTTATCCCTGCGGGCGGTGAGAGGAAAAGGGTCGCGGCGCCAGCTAGCAGCGGCCCCCCTCGCGGTCCCCGGGCTCGGCGGCGCGGTAGCGGCCCAGTTGTGAGGAGGCGGGGAAGCGAGTGTCCGGCGCCAGCCACGGACGGCATGGACGTGGGCCCGGACCCTGGGCTGGTGCAGAAGTTCAGCTGCCTGGGCACCGCCGACAAGGACGTGCTCGTCTCTGAGTTCCAGCAGTTGCTCGGCTTCCAGCTCAACCCGGCCGGCTGTGCTTTCCTCCTGGACATGACCAGCTGGAACCTACAAGGAGCAATTGGCGCCTATTATGACTTTGAGAGCCCAAACATCAGTGTGCCGTCTGTGTCCTTTGTTGAAGATGTCACCATAGGAGAACGGAAGTCGATATCCCCTTATGCTCAATATATAAAAACATGGCGCATCCAAAATTCTGGGGCAGAGGCCTGGCCTCCAGGGGTTTGTCTTAAATATGTCAGGGGAGACCAACTTGGACATGTGAACATGGTGTTGGTGAGATTGCTAAACCCCCAGGAGATTGCAGATGTCAGCGTCCAGATGTGCAGCCCCAGCAGAGCAGGAATGGATCAGGGACAGTGGCGGATGTGCACTGCTACAGGACTCTACTATGGAGATGTCATCTGGGTCATTCTCAGTGTGGAGGCGGGTGGACTTCTAGGAGTAGCACAGCAGCTGTCATCTTTTGAAACGGAGTTCCACACACAGCCACATCGCAAGGTAGAAGGAAACTTCACCCTGTTTGCCTCTCCCCAAAAGAACCGACAGTCAGATGAAAACAAAAGACCCTGGGCGTTCCGGGTTCCACTCGATCAGCAGAAACACACGGGCTCCCGCGCCTGACCAAACCGAGCAAGATGAGAGTAGACTCCCCCAGAACTCTGTAAATCTGTCCCCCAGCAGTCACGCAAACAACTTATCAGTCATGACTTACAGTAAGGGGCTCCGCGGGCCTTACCCCTTCAGTCAGTCTTAAACGGGTGTCACCAAGAAGAAAAATTAACGAAAGACACAAGGCTTGACTCTGGGAGGGGAGGGCAAGGGGTTCCTCTGGATTGCAGACCACATCGCAGGGACCTGTGGCTCTGACCCCCATCCTGGAAGAAGAAGAAGAATCAGAAAGACTAGTTTTGAGTAAACTCAGCGTGTGCGTGTGTGTGTGAATGCTGAGTGGTGGGAGTGGTGTTAAGGCCACCAAGAAGAAATCCTCGCAGCCACTTTGGGTTTTGTTTATTAGGCGTCAGTCTAACAAGTCATTAGGGCGCTCGGGAAGGAAAAAAATGTTTAAAATGAGGGGAAAAAAGCCATCTTTTAAACAAAAATTATTTTGCCTACAGACAGCTTGTAGTTTTGAGCACATGTTAATTGTTTCCCCTCTTTCCCCACTTTTATTTTTTTAGATAAGGGATAACATTCTGTGTATAGACTAGCTGCTTGCTCTGGAAGCAATTCAGGTTCAAAGCTGGCACGGGCTGCTTGGGGGCTCTGTGGGTAGGTGCTATAGGAGGACGCCTGCGTGCCACCTGATTCCACAAGACTCTGACCCCATTTGTTTTTAGTGGCATCAGCCTATGGGTTATCACGCTTTTCTTCTTCTTTTCTCTTTGATCTTCTGTTGATTTACACCTTTGACGTTTGTATTCGTCAACCCTGTGGCTTGTTAGCATCAGAACCTCTTGACCAAACTTCCCTGTGTGGCCAGCAGAGGAAGCCTGGAGGACAGATGTCAGGTGACGGGGGAGTTTGTGAGGCCGCGAGGTGACCTCCTGCACACACTCGTGACAATTCAAATTGCTTTCCTTCCACGTTTCTCTTGGCGGAGAGAAACGCCATCCCGCTTACTGCTCTTTCGGGTTCTTGGTACACAGCGGCTCGCCATCCACTCTGGGAACAGTGCCTCTGTGCTGTGTATATGTGCGTGCTGCGTGCACACACACACGGGTGTTGGTGCAGCTCACCAGCGAGTGTGCAGCCGGCGAATGTGAAGGTGTCCCGTGCTTCTCTGTTGTCACACAACTCCCTTCCCTGCGTTTCCCTCCAGTTGTCCTTTGTGGTGTTTTCGCAGCCTGTTAGCGGAGGCTGAGCTGTTAAGGTATGAAAATGGAGCCCCAGATGGGGAATTTGCCGTGGGGAAGGGCCACACTTACTGACTGCGTGATCTTGGAGACCACATTTTGCTGGGAATGAAAGGACCCCCTCCCTGGGCAGGATGCTCAGCTATTGGGAGGTGGCGGGCAAGGCACAGCCCAGCCGGAGCACAGGTTGGTTGGCTGGCTGCTCCCTGGGACAGGTGGCCCCACTGGCATCCCGCGCCTTCTGAGCAGGTTGAGATGTGGATATCTCCACAGGAAGCTCAAACCAGGCCAGAACAGCTGTGTGCCAAAGATACAGGAGTATGCAAAGTCCCTCTTCTCTTCTCCCCCCGTCCTTCCCTCGAGTCTTGGTTCGTTTGGTAGCCGGGCATACGGATCTAGGGTGCCATTGCTGGGTCACCTGCCTGTTGCCACACCCCCATCCCCCCCACCCCCCGGCTGTGAGACAGCAGGGAGTCCAGCTCGCTGATTGGCCGCAGGGGTCATGTGGCCTGGGTGTGGCTGAGAGTCTGTCTGGCTCTGTCTGGGTGTCTGAGTTCCCAAAACGCCTGTTGTTTGTTCCTCCTCGTCCACTTCTGAGACGGTTATGTTTTTCAAGCTTGACTGTGAGAGAAAAGCTTGTATGAAATTCTCCCTTTGCCTCCCCCCCTCACCCCAAATAAAAGGGGGCGTAAACATTGGTCCACTGGAGAAGCCCCGGGGGAGGGTGGAGCCTGCCTGCTGAAAGGGCAGTGCCGCTGGGGCTGGGGCCGGACTAGAGCGCACACTGGAGCACCTACTTTCTGTGCACACACAGAGCACCCCATTCCCAGCAGAGCAGAGGGGAGTCCCTGCCAGGTGCCCAGGTCACCACAGGTCCAAGCCAGGGGCTCACGATGGCTTTTTGTTTGAGGGCCCTATTGGGCCCAGACTGGTGCCACTGTTGCTGCCAACCTCCGGGGACACTGCCACCCTGGAGCCCACACATGCCCAACCATTCTGCTCACTGGATAGCCCTCAAAGCATCACATCTCCAGCTGCCCCTGCAGGATCATGGGAGGCTTTACACCCGCTGGTCTCCGGGCTTCCTCATCTCCCCCACACTAGGTGCCCCTTCCCCTTTTTCCAGGGGGGCTGCCCGCCGTTATGCAGCAGTGGCTTCACGGGTCCCCGTCAGTGGGTCTGGGCCTGCCACAAGGATTCTGCTCCTCCCCTTGCTTTTAGGCAGTCTCACCTGGCAAGGTAATTGTCCCAAGCACGTTGGCTTCTCTCCCAAGAACAAACCCTTTCTGTGCACATCTTTGGAGCGGTGCGCTCCTTGCAGAGGCCAGAGCGAGCGCCAGCCGCGGAGTAGGGGCGGAAGGAGTCCGTGGTCCTCCCAGGGCCTGGCGGCCCTTAGTACCATTCGTCCTGCCTCTTCTCGCTAGTGTGGGCTCTGAGCAAGTCCTCAGAGCCCCTCTTTTCCACTGCCTAGTGGGCCACAGAGGCTACCCTCTCAGCCCCAGCAGTCTGTTCCTCTTGGACTCCTTACCAAGTGGCAGGCTGCCTCTGGGCAGGACCACCAGTGTCTGGTGAGGCAGGTGGTCTCACCAGGTGAGGCAGGCAGCATCCTTAAGGACCTGAGGCCAGCAGGGGAGGCAGAGGGGCTCAGGCTTGGGAGGAACCTGTCTGTTTGCACGGAGTGAGGTGTGCACGTGTGCACGCGTGCCTGCTTTTCTTTTTTTGCCATGGGGACAGTTGAATTGGGGGCATTTTTCTATAAGAAACAGCCTTCTCTTCCCCCCGCAAGGACTGGCTGTTACCGAATGTCCATCAAAGGCACTTCCAGCCAGGAGAGAACCTCACCAAGACAGCTGGTGTGGCCCAAGGGTCGCCCAGGTGGGAAGTGGGCATAAGGATAAACCCCTCCCCAGATTCACTGTGAGCCCCAGTGGGAGAGGGTGGTGGCGTTGCCGGGGCCCAGCACTGCGAGCTGACTGCCCGCCCCACCCTGCCTCGCCTTTTCTCTGTCTCCTTGGGTGAATGCTGGAGCTGCTGCCCTCTCCTTCTGGACAGTGGTGTGGCAGCAAGCAAGCTGGCTGACTGTTTGCGGTGGGGCCTCCTGGTACCTGGGAGGCGACAAAGATGAGGCAGTTTCTCCTGACTGTATACATGAATATTTGTATGATTATCACAGACTAAAAAAAACCCTGAAGAAAAAAAAAATCCAACTTCTCACTCACTTGATTAACGTTGCAGTTTTTGGTCAGGCAAGAGAAGTGGCAGGTAGCCCTACGAAAGGCACACGGGCTTCCCAAGGAAGCAGGTGCTGCAGGTAGCAGGGGAAGGAGGAGGGCACAGAGGAAGCCTTCAGGAATTTGCTCTTGAGGAATTTGAGGATTTTGAATCTTCGAGGATTTACTTGAGGAAGTCACTGGGAATTAAGTAAGGGCCACTCCCTAGAGGAATCTTCTTGAGCAGCAAAGGGCAGTTGAAGAGAAAGGTAGATAATAAAAGGAGTGACAGGAGTGACAGTTCTTTTGAAAATAAAAGAACCCTGGGAAGGATCTGGGCAGGGAGGCGTAGAAGGTTCGTTTTCAAGGACAAATGTAGTTGGAAATGTAAGATCATTGTGGAGAGGTAATATAGTGCAGCTGTTAACATCATGGACTTGAGGACCAGCCTGCTCTACCCCTCACTAACTGGGTGATCATGGCCAAGTTACTTCACCTTTCTGTTTTAGACTGTCTGAAAACTGGGGAATAATAATGCTGATAGTACTTGTCCGACAGGTTGTTGTGAGCATTAAGTGAATATGTAAATATTAAATATATAAAGCTAATATAAAGCTCTTAGGACAGTGTCAGGTCCTGAGCACGGGGACTGTTGGTTATTATTGTTCGTGCAACAGATTTTTAATTTATGAAGAAATGAATCATGTTTTTTCAAATACAAATGCACCTGTGGTCCTAAAACCCAACACTTTCCTCCACCTTTCAAATCCTTTAGCTTGGGGGATGGAATGTGCTGAGAAGAGGTAAGAGAGAGAACTAAGAAAAGCAGGAGATAAGCAGGGAAGTGAATCATTTTAAAATCTATTAAAGCTTTACCCTCTTATTCAGAATAACATGTATCTTTCAGGTTTTGGTAGCTGAAAATTAAATTTCCTAGTATGCTATATATGAAGTTAAAAAAATAAATTCCATGCTAAATACAATAAACTTTTGAAATGAAGGCATTTTATAGAAAATTGTTATGCTAATAAGTTAATCAGTATATAGGCAATACTTTTCATTGCTTGGTGGCTTTCATTTTTTACTTTCATAAAGCTAATCTAGGTTAGCTTTAAAATATTGCTTTTTGCAATTATAATAATTGCAAAATATCAGTTTAGTAAATAGTGTGTATACATGCCCAAAAAGATCATTCTAAAAAAATTAGAGAAAATTTTGGAATTTCATTCCCAAAGTGAATATCTGTACTAAAAAATTTCCCCCAATTATTCTTCACCAGAAAAGAAAGCGTGTCGTAGATGAAAGGAGATGAATCTGGAGATGAATCTGGACATCTCAGGAGTGGAGGTATTTGGGTACCAGAGCAGATTACTCAGAAGTAAGAAGAAAAAACCCTCCCAGGTAAGATGCTTCTTCCTGGCCCTGGGAACAGGGATGTGCCTGGGGGTTCTCAGGCGTTGGAGAAGCTGATAATCAGATTTTCAGCTATGAGAAAGCTCCGTTGGCAGCCCAGCTGTGAGCAGAATGTGTTAACCGCTGTCCTGTAACTGCTGATATGATTCTGGGAATTTAGTTTTGCTTCTTGGGGACAGCCCTGGAATAGCATGAAAATTCCAGAAAATTGTATCACATTTTGGCACTGAGCATGTTTAAGTCCCCTTTTGGAGCAAGACTTTTCTCAGAAACGGTATATGTTGTGAGAATTAATCAACAGGTATTTATTAGTCTCTTCATTTTTAGCGCTGTGCAAAGCACAGATGTAAATGCTGACGCTAGGATCACTGCTAGCTTGAGCCACCTACAATTTGGAAATGGCTTTGTTTTACAGAAACTGGTTATACGTGACTGAATCTAAATTTCTGGCCCTTTGTGGTCTAGAACTGCTCAGGAATAATATGAAGATGACTGTTACTTAGGTGCTTAGGAGGGCTGAAGGCTGGAAGAAGAGGGGTTTTGGAGAGGAGGACTTGTGTTTCTTGAATAAAGGTCTTTCTCTGCTTGGAGAAGGACTGTTGCCTGGAAATGGACATTCGCCTTCTTATCAGTGAGGAGTAAGGGCTGGCTGGCTGATGAAATTTTAAAAAAAGATAACTCTGAAACTGAGCCAGAGGTTTGATTGGGTGCCAAGCTAACGTATTAATTTTTCTATTAATTAAATTAATTAATTTTCCTATTAATATGCTAAGCCTCCCTAAAAACTAAGGATTCTAGCAGCTTCTGCATTTCTAGCAGGTAGGAATTTCTTTATTCTATGACACAGGTTAAACATTTACTCATTTAACAAATAGGCCCCAACTGTCTACCATGGGTCAGGCACTCTTTTAAGCCATAGGAATTCAGGGCACAAAACAGACAAAAATCTTAGGCCTTGTGGTGTGGGAGAAAGATAAAAAGGTACTAAGGAGAAAAAGCAGAGAAGGAAAATAGGAAGCGTGAGGTGGAGGGTGTTAACAGCCCTAGGCAGGGTGGTCTAGAAAGCCTGCAAAGAATGACATTTGGGAAAAGATCTGGGGGAAGTCTCTTGATGGTGTGTTCTAAATTAAACTTTGGCTTAGAGCTGCAGTTTAACAGGATAGCAAGAAATTTCACTTCAGCCGGGTGTTGAGAGTCCTTCCCCTTCTTCAGATTATAAGGGGTCTGCAAGGGTTTATGTCTTTGTCCCCTGGTTGCTCCTGAGGTCTCAGTGTCCAACCCTGTGTGGTTACTTTGAGGGGCCAGAAGTGGGCCCAAGAATCTTAATGTCTACAAAGTCCTGACTTAATTTTGTCACCGAGGCATCCAAGTGCTATCTCACCAGAGCCTCTCCTCTGTGGGGACACAAGTCTGGGCTACTCTGGGAACTGCCCCCCCGAACTCTCCAACCTGTTTTTAGTCTAGAGGCCCCTCATGATGGGGGTACGTCTCTTCCTAAAATTTCAGCACACATCTTTTTTTTCTTTCTTTTTTATCTGGCCGTGCCGCATGGCTTGTGGGGTCTTAGTTCCTCGACCAGGGATTGAGCCTGGGCATAAGAGCGTGGAGTCCTAACCACTGGACCACCAGGGAGTTCCCAGCACGCACCTTTCCAACAGCCCAAACAAAAGCATACATAGGTGGTTGTTTTCCATGTGTCTGACTACCTTTGTTTTTAACGTCTGAGGCTAGGGCAGCAAGGGAGTGACCTTTTAAAGATAAATCAGGAGGGCTTCCCTGGTGGCACGGTGGTTGGGAGTCCGCCTGTCGATGCAGGGGACACGGGTTCGTGCCCTGGTCCGGGAAGATCCCACATGCTGCGGAGCGGCTGGGCCCGTGAGCCATGGCCGCTGAGCCTGCGCGTCTGGAGCCTGTGCTCCACAGCAGGAGAGGCCACAACGGTGAGAGGCCCGTGTACCGCAAAAAAAAAAAAAAAAAAAAAATCAGGAGAGCACTCATTCCTTCGAGTGAGATTCCTACAGTACTAAGGACAGACCAAAATTAATGTCTAATAAATTACCTTGCCATTCATTCAAATGATTTGGTCTCTAAAATTATTTCTATTTGTCAATATACTCAGAGAACTGAATGAAAAATACTTTTGCTCTCCCTTTGCCTATTAGCGTTATGATTATTCGTGCTTGAAGTTGGAGGAGGGAAGACATTCCTTTACTAATATCCTGTTACCCAGGCTATTTCCTGTCTCTCCCTTCTGCACCCTACACCAGTTGGGGTAGATTGCCAAAAGTTCAGTTTATCTAAAAATTCCAGTAAATGTGAAAGCAGAGGGTTGACAATGGTGAGCAGAGAGATTAGGAGACTAAAACAGGGAAATGAAGGTCAAATGTAAGAAAGGTGGAAGTGGGAGAGGAGGACAGGGAAGGAGACGGAGTGTTGAGAAACGGAAGGGAAGGGACAAAGCAGAAAGTAAAATTAAAGAGACAGGATGAGGGAGTGAAACAAAAGAGGAATATAGAATAAGGAGTCAAAAGGACAAGGAAGAAACAAGTGAGGAGCACTGATTCAGTGTTGAACTCATACAGCTCTGGAGGTCAGAAGTTTGACATGGGTGTCAGTGGGCTGAAATCAATGTTTTGCTAGGCTGTGTTTCCTTCTGGAGGCTCTAGAGGAGAATCCATTTCCTTGAGTTTTCCAGCTGTCGGAGGCTGCCTGCACACCTTGGCTTATGGCCCTTTTCCTCTTCCATCTGTAAAGCATATCTCTAGTCATTCTCTGATTGTCAGTTGTATCTCTCTTACCATTCTTCTGTTGTCACCTCTCTCTCTCCATAGTCAGGAAAGGCTCTCCATTTGTAAGGACCAGAGTGATTAGATAGGGCCCACTTGGATAATCCAGGATAATCTCCCTATCTTAAGGTCATTAATAATCACATCCATAAAATCTGTTTTGCCATGAAAGGCCTGAGAATTAGGATGTGCACATCTTGGGGGACCATTATTGTGCCTGTCAGAGAGATCAGGAAGCCTTAATTGGAACCCTTTCTGTAGGTCAGAAGATCAGCCAGTGCATTGCCAGGTAAGTGTGTTTCCAGACCAGGCCATGTCAAATGTGTTTTAGTCTACATACCATTTGAAATGTAGAAATAGAATGTCACTTATGCTCAAAAGAAATAAAATGTGTGTATTGTGGTAAATAAAAATGCATATATATTTTTATGTTCTGATGTAAGACAGCAAAACGATAAATAAATTGTTGACCTATGAAACCTTATACGAAATCCCCTTCTCTGATAGCCTGGAGACCAGGATTAGGTAGTGAGCCACTGAAGTGGCAGCTTATTTAACCCTGCATGAACCGGAGCCATGCAGCCATTGCTGAGGATCACAGTCAGCATGTCCTTTCTTTCCTCGATGCTTCTTTGCTAAGATGCTTGTGGACTCAGAATAATAGCAGGTGATTCCAGATGGCAACTCCGCAAGATGCTTACGTGGCCCCTCCTCAGATGGAGAGTTGATCCTTGTTTCTATGTAGCTAACGGGCATTCTGTAGAATTCATTCCCTCACTCAGAGACATCCATGTGCATGCATTTGCCACAACCGTGGTAACTAGAAACTAGCCCTATGTGGGAAACATTGACCAGAATGCCTCCAGGAATTCCACCATCTGATTCTGATTCTAATTCCTGCCCTATTCTCATCGCGACCACTCTTGTACCAGCTCTCTGGGAAAGCTGGGAGTGGAAGTAAAAAATTCCGCGTCAGAAAGAAAACAGAGGTCTGGGAGAGAAAGAGAAGATGAGCTTGGTGACTTGTAAGTTCCTGTTCAAAAACAGGACTGATGTTTTGGTTAGAGGCCTCAGGAAGGAAATGTAGTGGCTCAAATTATCCCCAGATGGGGCTGTTTATCTCATTGTTCCCTTCAAATGGAAAGTAGCACTCAATTGTTGAGTAGAGTTCTGAGCACTTACTGGTCACTGGCACTGTTAGTATTGGGTATTTTCATGTGTCTTGTTGGATGAGAGAGTTTATATACATAAAGAGTCACATTACATTTGTCTATGTGTATCAACACATACAAACGCATGTGAAACCATCTTATACTTGTTAAATACTTGACTTTTCAGAGTTCTTTCACTTCAACTATTTCACCTGATCTTGGCAGCAATTAGGAATATGAACAGAGAAGATATGAAAACAGGGTCAGAGAGATTAGCCATATTATTCTCATCTCACTTGGTTACAGGGCTAGTTTGTGAGCACTTAGATTAGAACCAGGTTCTTAATTTTCAAACCAGGGCTCTTTCTACTTAATTATGTCGATTTAAAAAAAGAATTCCAGTAACTCAAGAGTTAGAGCAGAGTTTTAGTTATGTCAGAACTATCAGCTATAACACCAATTCCCACTTACAATGTATATTTAACTTTAATTAACGGTAATTTCGTGGTGAGGCAGAATAAGAAACAAAGAAAAAAAGGAAACGGCATTTCATGCAGTGTTACATAAAAACATAACAAGATCTTGAAAAATGTAATATTACATAAAGAACTAAGGAAGACCTGGAAAAAAACAAACACTTGCTGCTTACTATTTTAGAAATAGCATATGGTTTCTTCCACGTGATGAATATAAGGTTCAGACAAGTAAATGCAGAGATGACCTCTGAGCATAAATGTTAAACGTGCACAGAGCAGAGCATTTTCTGGTCAGTGTTATTAATCCCACTGAAGATGGGGTGAGTGATATGCCGTTAAATTTAAATTTAGGCTGTAGAATTTAGAACTCTGTCCTTTACCTCATGTGTTTCTTTTTCTTAGTCTGGCTAATCTAAGCCTGTTGGACAAAAATTATTTTAACTTAAAATTGTTAAACACATTGTTTGGGGCTGGTTTGGGCCCAGAATTACTTTCTGGATCATTTATAACATTTAACCAGGCTGAAATTTTGTTTTTGTTTTTATGCCTATCTACAAGTACACACAAAACTTCTTCCTTCCTGGTTTTGTCAGTTTTCAGTAAGTGACAATTTGTAATCTTTCAAAAATATACTTTAAAATAATACGATTTGTCTTTACCTAATAATTTCTTCTTGCCTTTGAAATATTTCTGTAGCCATATTGAATACGACAGGAAAAATCTCCACACACACAAAATATTCCTCCTAAATTCTCATGTATGTTTTGCTGTTGATATTTAAAGGCAGATATGAATACTACATTTAGTTAAATAGATGAAAAGTGGCTTCGGTTTTGAAATACTACTTTAGTCTATAAGGAACAAGGTCTGGCTCACATAAAGGGCAGGCTCATAAGCCTGTCCAATGCCACTGTCTTACCTCATACAAGGAGCATAAAACAACTCTTCAGGCCTTTATTCATTAAAATGGAATGTGTGTTTCCATTAGGAGTTCTACTCAAAGAGTGAATCTGCATACTGAGAAAATTATGTAGCAATCATCTTTCCTTAACCTAAAAGCAAAATACAAATGTGGAAAAGTTCACAGCATTTCATGTCCCCTACCATCCCCCATCAAGACCACCTGGAGACATGACCGAACCAAGAGGAGGTACTGTGGACCCTCAATGGGCTCAATATTAAGAGTCTGTACAATAACTTCGAGGTCCTTCTCTGATTAGCTGTGTTTTCTCATTTGCGTTTGTAGGCTGGAGGACAACTGGAAAGTCCATATCTAAAAATAAACAAAGAAAACCAGTAAACACCCTCTTATGTTACATTTCATTTAATGGGGCAAGTGGTAGATATTTTTGCTGAAATGATGATTAGCAAATCATTTCAATTCCTAAGATACTAAGGATCCTACCCTTTAAAGGACTTCAAAAGGGAGGATACACTCACTGTCTTTATTCTTCATTTAAGTTCTATTAGTTACAGAATTATAAAACCAAAGCACTAAGCCCAGATTTCACTTTGAGGCAATTTCTAAAACTGATAAACTTGAGCTTTAGTTTTCACCATTTTGTGGGGATGAGGACAGGGCTGCCACCCATGTCATATAGACTGCAGTGTGTATCTATATGAAAAATACGTCTAGAATCGTGCAGTGGACAATTGCATACATGGCTCTGGTTGGGAGAGAGGCCAAGACCCAGAGTTTGCTTGGGTGAAGAGTCTAATAGGAAGCTCTCCACATAAAGCTAGTACCCCAAATGGTTATGTGCTGTCTAAATCACCATAGCCTTAAATCTGCAAGGAAGTTTGCTAGTCTTGAGTTTTGATGAGGAAGTGAAGAGCTCCCTTAAAAATGTCTGTTAGCAAGCTAATGAGCACACAATGTGGCAGGTCAAATTTACAATACCTGTGTGTTCTAAGAAACCCCAGGCTGATAATTTAGTTTAAAATGGTCCAGTGCAAAAGCACAGAGCAGAAATGAATGGCCCCAACCTTCAACCCAGCCCTCAAAGAATCCCCCACAAATTGCAAGAAACATAAACTCATAGTAAAAAACAGAGAGATGGGAGAGATAGGGAGAAATAGAGAGAGAGGGAGAGAGATGGGGGGAGGGAGAACATTACACATAGGAACAATGCACACTGAGTGAGAGCCAGTAGAAACAACAGAAAGCCAGTCAGACCCAGAAAGACTTCAAATCCTGCACTTACCAGACACAGAATAAGAAAGAATTAGATTTGTTTTTCAAGTGATCAAATGGATTTTGAAATTAATAATAATAAAAAATCTCTTTTAGACATTAACACATCTGAAATTTTTAAAACTTGATGAATGGGGTTTAACAGCTAAAGGGAGAATTAATGGAATAGAAGACAGATTTGAGGAGATTAATCAGAATGTGGCACAGGGAAACAAAGATATAAAATAGGAAAGAGGCTAAAGGACGTGAAGAATAGAGTGATATTCTGACTTATATTTAATAAGACTTTCGTAAAGAAATGAAAAGAAAAGAAGAGTAGAGGTAATATTTGATGATTTAATGGCTGAGAATTTCCTGGAGTTGATACAAGACACCAGTCCACAGATTCAAGAACCAACTAGGATAAATTAAAGAGAAATTCATATTTAAACATCTTAGTGATATTGAAGAACACTAAGGATAACGGTTCTTAAAGCAATCTCACTTTCCAATAGCAGATATGGAAGGCAGAAAACTATGAAATTATGTTTACAATATACTATAAGAAGATATCAACCTAAATTTGTTGATAAACCCTCTTATTGCTACATTTATTTTTTTAAGCATGATTTACAGGTATTTTCAGACAATAAAAACAGAAGTTGTGCCACCAGCAGACCTAATTTAAAAGTTATAATTCAGACAGAAAGAAGTGTTATCACATGGAAAAATTTGTGCTGTATATAGAAATGATTAGTAGATATATAAGTAAAACTAAACAATTATTTATCATATAAAGCAATAATAATTTATGAGACTTAAAATTGAGATAAAATTATGACAATGGATGTAAATCAGAAAGGAGATGATCAGAATTAAAGAGTTATAAAGTTCTTGTATTGTTCAGGAGAGGGTAAAGATAAGAATTAACTTTCAACTTTGGTAACTTAAGTATGCTTGGTAACTTTTTAAGGCAGCCCTAAAAAAATAGAACAGAGAATATAATTTCCAAACTGGAGGAGAGAAAGAAATGGAATGTGAAAAAAAAATTCTGTCAGTACAGAAGAAGGAAAAAAAGGAAAGAAAATAGAAACAGAAAAAATATGCCAACTTAAAGTGATAATTATAATAATAAAATATTAACAGAAAGCATGTATATAGTACTTATTATGTGTCTAGCACTGTTCTCAGTGCTTTATGTATCTTAACTCTATAATAGCACTACAAGGTAGGGTAATTATGATAGCTATTTTACAGATAAGCTGAGGACAGAATGTTTTAAGTAACTAGCCTGCATTACACAGGTAGTAAGGAATAGAGCTAGTATTAAAACCTGGGCAGTATTTCTCAGAGTCTGTTTTCTTAAAGGCTGTGCTATACTGTCTCACAAAGAGTAAGTTCATAGAAAAAAACATATATCATTAGTTATAAAAAATACAAACGGACTCTATTTAAAAGAAAAAACATGGCCAGACTGAATAAATCCCCCCAGCAATATGCTGTTTACAAAGGACACATCAAAAAGCATAAGGACAAAAAAACATAGAGAATAAAAGGATGGAAACATATTTACTACACAAACACTAAGGAGAAGAAAGCTAATATAACTGTATTTTAAAAACAAAGTATGAGACAAAAAGCATTGCTAGAGCTAGAGGGTAACTACATAATAATAAAATATTCAATTAACCAAGTAGCCATAAAAATTCTAAACTTATATATGCTAATAACATAGCTTCAAAATATAGGAAGCAAAAATTGACAGAACTTTATAGAGAAATAAAAAAATCCATCAGCACAGTGGAAGAATTGAATGCTTCTCTCAGTAACTGACGGATAAAGCAAGCAAAAAAATCTTTAAGATTATAAAGGATTTGAAAAGTGTAATGTTGTGAACTGAATCGTGTCCCTGCCCCCCACCCCATTCATATGTTGAAGTTCTAATCCCTAGTCTGTCAGAATGTGACCATATTTGGAGAGGAGGTCTTTAAAGAGGTAATTATGTTAAAATGAGGTCCTCAGAGTGGGCCTTAGTCCAGTATGACTTGTGTACTTAGGACACAGTCATACATAGAGGAAAGGCCTTGTGAAGACACAAGATGAAAATGACCATCTACATGCCAAGAAGAGCGGCCTTAAGGAAACCAGTCCTGTGACACCTTGATCTTAGGTTTCTAACCTCCAGAATTGCCAGAGAGTAAATTTGTTTTTCAAATCACCCAGTCTGTGGTACTTTGTTACAGCAGCCCTAGCAAACTAATACATACAACAAATTAGCTTTATTTAATAGTCATACATGGAACAGTGAACCTAACAAATGCAAAATGTACTGTTTTGAAGCAATGTGGAACATATGTAAAATCATTTAAGTTCTAGGCTATAAGCAAGCCTCAAGACATTTCAAAATATTGTTTCATGCTGTCCACATTTTCTGATAATACTGCAGTTCAGTTAGACACAAACAATAATAAAGAACGAGAAAAGACCCCACAGGTTTACAAATTAAGACACATATAGACCTAACTTATAGATTAAAGAAAAAATCATAATGGAAATAAGAAAATGTTTCAAACTTAGATTATAAGAACATATGTGTACGTGTGTGTATGTAAAGCCAAACTGGTACTTACAGAAAAATTTATAGCCTTAATAGCTTAATATCAGAAAAGAAGATGGACTGAAAATTAAGAAGTATAAAAATTAAGTTAGAAAATTAACAACAATAAATTAAGAGAAATAATAAAAAATAGAAATTAAGTAGAGAGAATATACAGGAGAATCAATAACACTGACAACATTTATTTGAGAAGAATAAAATTTTCAAATATCTGGTGAGAATGGCTAAAAAAGGAAAGCAGAAATAACCAATATAAGGAATGAAAAATGGGACAAAAATGCAGATACTATAGATGTGTAAAAGGTAACAAGAGGAAATTTTGAAGAACTAATTGTTTTAATAAAGAAGAAGGGAAACCTAAATGGCCTATAAAATATATTGAATCCATAATTTAAAATTTGTATAAAAACACATTAGCCCAGAAAGGTCTACACCATCCTGTAGAAAGAAATAAATCCAGTAATACACAAACTTTTCAAGAGTTAAAGAGGAACACTGCTAATTTATTTTATGAGGCATAATCTTGGTATAGAACCCATAAGGAAAGTTTGAGATGGGAAAATGATAGGCCAGTCTCACCCATTAACATAGATGCAAACATCTAAAACAAAATATTAGCAAACACATTTCATAAAAAAATAAAATAGTTAATGCATTATGACTGCTTTGGGTTTATCTCAGGAATTCAAGATTGTTTTAACGTTGGGCAACAATTCATATAGTTCTTCACGTGAACAATTTAAAGGAGAAAAATCATTACCATCTCAATTGGTGAAGAAAAAAGTATTCTAACAACATAGTAATAGAAGACAACTTTCTTAACCTGATCAAAAGCCTACAGCAAACTTCACAATCATTATGCAATCTTGAAAGCATCTTCTCTTCAACATTTTACTGGCAGTCTCAACAAACACAGAAAGGCAAGGAAAAGGCTAAAAAAATGATAAGGGAAGGGAAGGAAGAATCAAAACTATCACTATTCACAAATGTTATAGATAGGTATGTAGAAACCCTAAAGAATTTACAGATAAATAATTAGAAATAGAGAGTTTAGCTAGTTTCTTGGATTCGAAATCAATGTTAAAAAAAAGTACATTCCTATATACTAAGAAACAAGTCAACAACTAATCTATGATAATTTATTTATAATTGTATGAAAGTGGATAAAGTATTATGGATAAATGCAACCAAAGATATAAAAGAGATATCTTTATTGAAAGGCAACGAAGAAAACCTAAATAAATGGAGAGGTATACCATGTCACATATTAGAGGACTCACATTCTTTAAAGATGTCAATTCTTCCTAATTTATCTACAATCACTGCAATTCTAATCAAGATCCCAAATATTTTGCTTAAAGAAGTTTTGGTACAGGACTTAACAAAGCTTATTCTAAAATTTATATAGAAAAGCAAAAGGCCAAGGATATGTGAGAGTGTCCTGAAGAACAAATTAGGAAGAGTTGCCTGAACAGTGTTATGA